AAGAGCATTCCTTTCTAACTACCAAAGCTGCACTCTTTCATGTTCATACATGCAAAGACAAAAACTGCAAACTTTTACCTGATAACACAGAACACATTTTTAAAAACATATCAACTCATTACTTTGACAAATCCTTTGAAACATTTCCAGTACCTTCAAAAGACAACATAACTCCTAAAACTACATATTTACTTCAGACTATACAATCTTTCAACCAAACCAACAATACATAGCAACCTTTAAAAAAACTATACCACTTCATATACTTAATAAACTTGCAATTAAAGCAGACCAAAAGTTTGCTGAAATTAACAATTCAAAAACCAATCTTAAATGAACTGCTTTCTACCTTTATTCTTATCTTAAAGCTTATCTAAATACTGCAGCTAAAAATAACAGTATTTCAAATCTTGAACTAAACAAAGCTTTAGAAAAAATTATTACACCTACTATTAACTCATATATCCTAGTATGTATAATTCTCTATTTTCATATCCAAAGTCAACCAAAATTCTTTATCTTTCAAATCCAACTCGACTATGATCTAAAGTACCTTCTAAAAGTGAAAAAATTTATTATTAAACACTATGATATTAAAATCTCTTCAATACAGGATGATACTCTCTTCATGTTTTCAACTACTACTTATAGTTTACTTTTTCAATAAATCCTTCTATAGATAACAAAAATACAGCTGCCACTTTCAAAATAATGATGTCTTTCACTAAAAGTATGCTATTTTTGGAAGAGAATAATATAAGTAAGCAGGCAGAAAAGCCTATTTATGCAAAGGACCAAGTTAATGATAGTCAGACCCAATGTACAGAGCAGACTATAGTATCCTCTGCAACTGAGTATATCTATAGAAGGAAAATCTAACTTCTCAGATAACAACTTATCACACTCTTCTAAGAATTCTCTTTCAGAAAATTTTTTACATTTACTTCTCAAAAACCATAAATACCCAACATTTTTATTAATATTTTAATAAATTTTACAACTACTAATGTTGACTATGAATCATTAACAGAAGATCCAAATAATACTATCGACTCACCAACTATCAAAACTATTAAAAGAAAAATCTTTATCCAAATTTCTGACCTTTTAAAAATATACAATCTCTTAACATACTTCAACAAGTTCCTTTCCTTTTATAATCTACAACTTCTGCCTTTATCACAATCAATAGGCTCATTTTTAAAATTTATTCAAAATAAATATCCAAAATACTATTCAGAATAATATATAAAAATTTATATTAAAATATCTAAAAACAATAGATTTGAAGAAGCACATATTCACCTTTCTCAAGAAACTAATCTTCTATTCAACTTTACTAATATTTTTTTTGAAAATCTTACAAACTTTCAAAATGTCTTACTTAAAACAAATTATACTTCAACAAGATTCAAAATACCTTCTCTCTTAAAATGTTAAAACTTTCTTCTATCTACAACACCAATACCTCCTAAACCTCCCTCTATTATAACATATATAAACAACAACATTTTATCTTCTAAAAATCCAAACATTACAAAATTAATTAAAATACATTCACTAAATATTAATGGTCTTCTTGATAACTTCAAACAACTGAGTCTAATTGATTTTATTTCAGAAAATCAAATTGATATTTTTGGAATTTCTAAAACATACTTATCTAGCAAAGAAGCAAAGTTCTTAATACTCTCACAAAAACTTATAAACTACAAATGTTTTTGGATACTAAGTAATGCTTGCCAGGATGGTATAGAAATATTAATTCACAAATCACTAGCAAAGCATATTGAAAAAATACAAATATACAAAAACTTTCTTCTAGAAATTGATATATTTCTCAAAAACCTTCATATTAAACTAATTCAACTTTACTTTCCAATCTAAAAAAAAAACAACTTCGAAAAGACATTTTTCAATATCTTACTCCTATTCTTAATAAAACCAATTACAAAATAATTCTAATGGAAGACCTAAATGAAGTTCTAAAGCCCAAACTAGATAGACTACCACAAAAAAGCTCAACTATATCTGAACATTCTCTTTTAAGAATACTCAAATCCTTTCAATTTTATGACACTTATAGGCTTTTTTTTCTATCAACACCTACATTCTCCTATACACACAATAACAGTCATAATAGAATTGACCAAATATGGACTAATATTCATATCACACTTTTAGACTATGCTGACATTTTACTGAATCTATTTATCACAACTGATTACTCAATAGTATTACTCGAACTTACAATAAATATACCTAAAATTAATATACAACAACTTCAATCAAGAACTTTTATCAATGGAAACTTATAAAAATGAACAAATTAAAAACTACCAAAGTTATACTGAACAAAATCTTCAACAACTCCTTATAGTCATTACCAATATTACTAATAGCTCAGAACTTAACAATACTTGGAATAAAATTAATAAGGTTCTAACTAAAGCAATCCAAAAACATATTTTATTTAAAAGAATCAAAATAAATTTATACCATAATGAACAACAACTACCCTCTCTTTCACTACTATACAAACAACTAAAACAGGCAATCTTACTTAAATTATTTTTTAATAAACCTAACTTTTTACAAACATACAACCTATACATTAAAAAATATTTACAAAACACCTTACTACCATCCTTACACTTGACACAAACTACTAATAATCCTGACTTTACTACATTACTAAACTTACTTATTACAGAAATTAAAACCTTTAAAATACAAATCCATAAAAAAAAACAAGAAAATACTCTAAAAGAAATTCAAAACAAACTGGAAAAAAAAAATGTTAACTTTTACCAAAACCCAAAAATTTTCTTTTGAAATGTTTTAGAAAAACCAAATAATAGTATCAACTTAGACCATCTATTATTTAACAATACACTCACTACTCAACTATCTGAAATAAAACAAGACTTATAATCTTACTTTCTAAAAAACTACCATATACACTAATAGAAGAAAACTCAAAATTCTATGAACTCTACAAACCTTATCCAGAAAATGAACCTCTTTTTAATAATCTATTTTTAAAAATCACTTTAGAGGAATAGAACAAAGTCATATATGACCTTCTAAACCAAAAAGCTGCAGACCTATCAGAAACTAATTATGAACTTTAAAATACCTAAACTTCAAAGCCCAAAATATTATTCAACTATTTCTAGCAAAATGTCTTTCTTTACAACAAATATCAACAATATAGAAAACATCTAATATTTTTAATTGTACTTGAAGCTCTTCAGCATATTTTTCTTAGTCTTCTTGCTTTGCTTCCTTATACAAATATATTATTCTCATTTGGTCTTTGCATTTGGTTTTTGCATACTCTAGTTCACAATTACATACTCTAACTATATAACTACTATGTCAATTTTTTTTTGATTTTTGGTTCAATGTCTTCTTGTTCTTGCTTCTTATTTTGTCTTTCTGTATTTTTTTTTGACTAGATAAATTCTCTTTTTCTTAATTATTGTTTATTTGACTTATCTTTATATTTACTTCTTTTTATGAGCTTTCAGTGTTGTTCTGCACTTTCTTTTCAATTGTCTCTTTAATTTCTGTTTTCTTTTTTTATAGTATTTTGTATACTTCTTCTTACTTTTGATTTGCTTTTATAGACTGTTATTGGATTTCTTTTTCTTTGTCTCATGTCTGTTCTGTTGTAGATTCTTCTATTATAATATTTTTATTTTGTTTGATAATATTGATCTTTTTTTCTGGCTACTCCTCTTCTGCTTTCTTGATTATTTCTCTAGTTATACATAAAAAAGCAACTTTCAATGCATCTTGTTCTGTTAGCATTGCTACAATTTCATTTTCTCTGTCTGATATTACAAAAATTTTACTAGCTTAATTAAAAAACATCTTATTGTATATACTATTTACTGCCCAATATGCTTTTCTGATATATATTGATATTAGGCTTTCTTTCAACTTTGTGTACTATTCATATTTAGACTAATTATTATTAACTCTTATTTGTTGCTTATTGTTTTAAAATTTTTTATGCTTTATGTTTATCACTATCCTAATTGAACTTGTTTGCACTTCTTTTAATGCACATGTTTGTTTTATTTGTCTATTTATATGTTGCTGTGATCTACAAATCTATATTTCCAAGTTATAGAGAATTCTCTAACTTTTGTTTTTCAAAGTATCGACCAAGATGTTTTCCTCTCTGTCTCCTTTACTGAGTTTTTTAATTTTCTACTTTTCTTTTTGTTATACCTTCTTTACAAACTTAATCTTTTTTGTTAGATCTGTAAAGTTAGTTTTAATAGCTGTTTTTTGGTAAACTTCTAAAATGTTTTTTACAATTTTGTATACAAGTGATTAGTGATTTTTTGATTTTGTGAAAGCCAGTTCTTTGAAAAACAAAGGCAAACATTTTATACAACTTTAGTATTTTAAAAAAACAAAGATAATAATAAAATTTTAAATATTTGAATTTATGATTATTGAAATACTAATACTAAACAAAATGCCTAAATTATTGCATTATATTGTAAAATAGTATTTATGATAATAGTTTTTAAACCACATTGAGTTAACATAATTTTAGATAATGAAGAACACTATCATAACTTGGAGTTAATGATAATTATTAGTTACTGACATAGTTGATATAATATAAAAATATATGAATAGATCTTTTTTAAATTTAAAAAAGCAAAAACTACAGTTTATTTTTATTATACAATTGCAAGTAGATTTAATATACACTAGTCTTTTTTTTTAAAAAAAAAAATTCAAGCAGCATATTTTAAATACTATTTAATCTATTATTCTTCTATATTATTTAATATATAATTTACTTTTTATATAGTTTTGTAAACATAGTTGTTCATAAAATCATATAATAATCAAACTACAATGTTTTTGTTAAATAAAATATTATAATATTTTTTTTATATAAAGGATTCAAATACAATGTATAGTGTCCTTTTTAGCATTGTATTCAGATATAAATAGATTATAATATTTTTGATATATTTATTTTACAAATTATAGTTAAATAAGATAATAAATCAAATAGCAAATTAAATAATAATGCATGCTATTTAGTGTATTAAATATATTTTAGTTTTTGTAATTTACTAATAAAAATACCAATTATAAAATACACATGCAATTAAAAAATATATTAAAATTAGACATAACCTTATTAAAGAAACAAATATTAAAATAGCACTTTAAAATTTTAGAACCTCTGTAGTAT